GGATGGGGGCACTGGGGGCACTGGGGGGGCACTGGGGGGTGGGACATGGGAACTGGGGGCACTGGGGGTACTGGGGGGGCACTGGGGGCACTGGGGGCAGTGGGGGGTGGGACGGGGGCACGGGGGGTCCTCCAGGGCCTCTCCGGAGCGAACTTTGAGCCCAATTTCCCCCCTTTTCTCCCCTTTCCCCCCCAATCCCCCCCCCCCCAGACGACGACCGTCCCTCCAGCGACTCGGACCCCCCCCCCCTCCCCGCCGCCGCCTCGCCCCGCAAACCCCCCCGCCCCTGGTGGGACCCCCCCCCGCCCGCGCCCCCCAAAGCCCCGCAGCCCCCCCGAAAGCCGAAGCCCCCCCCGGCCGCGGGTGTCCCCCCCTGCGAGCTCTGCGGCAAAACCTTCTCGAGCGACTCTTCCCTGCGGCGGCACCTCCAGGGGCACCGCGCGGGACCCCCCGGCGCCCCCCCCTTCTCCTGCTACCGCTGCCGCAGCCCCTTCTGGTGCGGGGGGGCCCTGCGGGACCACCTGGGGGGCCCCCCGTGCCGCCGGAGACCCCACAAGTGCCGCTCGTGCCCCAAACGCTTCGCCTCGGCCCGGGCCCTCCGCGAGCACCGGAGAAGGCACCGGGAGCGCGACGGGGACGGGACCGGCCCCGGCTTCGGGTGCGGGGAGTGCGGGAAGCGCCTCTCGAGCCGCTCCAGCCTCGAGACCCACCGGCGGATCCACACCGGGGAGCGGCCCTACCCCTGCCCCGACTGCGGCCGGGGCTTCATGGGCTCCAAGTCGCTGAGCAAGCACCGCAAGAGCCGCCACGGCGGCGGCTTCGTGTGCGGGGAGTGCGGGAAGAGCCTCTCGTCGGGGCCCGCGCTCGTCACGCACCGGCGGATCCACTCCGGGGAGCGGCCCTTCGCCTGCCCCGACTGCGGCCGCGGCTTCATGGCCACCAAGTCGCTGGCCAAGCACCGCAAGGGCCACCTGAAGGGAGGAGGAGGAGGAGGAGAGGGAGGAGAGGGAGGAAGGGGAGGGCAGGGAGGGGAGGGGTTGGGGGGGAGGCTGAGGGGGAGGACGGGAGGGAGCCCGGAGAGATGCCCTGAACTTGTTGCTGGCCCTAAACCTGACCCCGATGCCAGCCCTAAAACCAATCCCAGCCCTAAATCCAACCCCAGCCCTAAAGCCAATCCCAGCCCTAAATCCAACCCCAACCCCAGCCCTAAATCCAATCCCAGCCCTAAATCCAACCCCAATCCCAGCCCTAAATCCAACCCCAACCCCAGCCCTAAATCCAATCCCAGCCCTAAATCCAACCCCAATCCCAGCCCTAAAACCAACTGCAATTCCAGCCCTAAACCCCCCCTCAATCCCAGCCCGAAATCCTGCCCCAGCTCCCCCAGTCCCCGCTCCCAGTCCTCCCCTAAGCCCTGCCCCAGTCCCGGCCCCAATCCCTGCCCTAAGCCCTGCTCCAAGTCCTGCCCCGACTCCCCCAACCCCTGCCCCGATTCCAGCCCCAATTCCTGCCCCAAACGCCCCAATTCCTGCCCCAATCCCTGCCCAAACCACCCCAATCCCTGCCCCAAACACCCCAATTCCTACCCCAATTCCTGCCCCAATTCCTGCCTCAACCACCCCAATTCCAGCCCCAACCCCACCCCCAACCCCTTCCCCAACCCCTGTCCCACCCCCCCCTCCCCAGTTCCCCCCCAGTGCTCCCAGTGCGGGCTGGGCTTCGCCACCCCCTCGGCGCTGGAGCTGCACCGGCGGGACCACCACGGGCAAGGGGGGGTGGCCCGGGGGGGTCTCCGGGTGGCCCAGGGGGGTCTCCAGGTCCCCCCAAAACGCCGGGGGGGGGGTGGATCCCGTCCCCAAATCTGCGGGGACTGCGGGAAGGGGTTCCGGGACGGGGCTTCCCTGCGGCGGCACCGGCGCGTCCACACCGGGGAGAAACCGTTCGGGTGCCCCGAGTGCGGGAAGAGCTTCCGAGCCAGCTCGTCCCTCGTCATCCACCGGCGCAGCCACACCGGGGAGAGGCCCTTCGGCTGCCCCCGCTGCCCCCGCGAATTCGCCTCCCGCTCCTCCCTGGGCAAACACCTCCGGACACACCGCCCGCCCCAGGGGGACAAGGAGTGACCGGGCACGGGGCTGCAGGGGGGGCTCGGGGGGCACACGGAGGGCAGGTGGTGGAGTTTTTGGGGGGTGCCCGGCTCGGGGATCGATGGAATCTGGGCACCCGGCTCGAGGATTGGTGGAATTTTTGGGTGCCCGTCTCAGGGATTGGTGGAATTTTTGGGTGCCCGTCTCAGGGATTGGTGGAATTTTTGGGTGCCCAGCTCAGGGATTGGTGGAATTTTTGGGTGCCCAGCTCATGGACTGATGGACGAACCTTCAGGAATTTGGGCGCCCAGCTTAGGGATTGGTGGAATTTGGGTGCCCACCCCAGGGATTGATGGAATTTTTGGGTGCCCACCTCAGGGACTGGTGGAATTTGGGTGCCCACCCCAGGGACTGAAGGAATTTGGGTGCCCACCTGTGGGACTGATGGATGAACCCGCAGGGATTGATGGAATTTTTGGGTGCCCACCTCGGGGATCGACGGATGAACCCCCAGGGATCCATGGAATTCGGGCGCCCACCTCAGGGATTGGTGGAATTTTTGGGTGCCCACCTCGGGGATCGACGGATGAACCCCCAGGGATCCATGGAATTCGGGCGCCCACCCCAGGGATTGATGGAATTTTTGGGTGCCCATCTGTGGGACTGATGGATGAACCTTCAGGAATTTGGGCGCCCAGCTCAGGGACTGATGGAATTTCTGGGTGGCACCTCAAGGACTGACGGGTGAACCCTCAGGAATCGATGGAATTTTTGGGCACCCACCTCGGGGATCGATGAAATTCGGGTGACCCCCCCCGGGGATCGATGGACATTGGGTGACCCCCCCTCGGGGATCGATGGAATTTGGGTGACCCCCCCCCGGGGATCGATGGAATTTGGGTGACCCCCCCCTCGGGGATCGATGGACTCAAGGACTGCTGGAATTTTGGGTGCCCACCTCAGGGATTGATGGATGAATTTTGGGTGCCTGGCTCAGGGATTGAGGGAATGGGGTGAAATAAAGCGGAATTGGGGTTTTGGAAGCCCGGGGGTTGTTATTTGATGGCTCGAGGGGGGGAGATTTGGGATCCCCCCCCCGAGCCCCAAAACGGGCTCCCCTTCTCCAGGAGCCCACCCTGGGGGGCTTCCAGGGGGTACCCCGGGGTGGGAAGGTGGGATTGGGGTGAAAATGGCCCGTTTTGGAGGTGCTGAGCCCCGAATCCAGCCCAGCGCCTCCCCTGCCCCGGGGAGCCCCAAAATGGGGCAGGGGGTCCCTCCCGATGCGGTGCCCCCCCCAAAATGGGGCAGGGGGTCCCTCCCGATGCGGTGCTCACCCCAAAATGGGGCAGGGGGTCCCTCCCGATGCCCCCGGAGCGGGCAGGGGGGGTTCCCGCCGATCCCAAAAGGCTCTGGCAGCGGTGGGATTCGAACCCACGCCCCCGCAGGGACTGGAGCCTTAATCCAGCGCCTTGGACCGCTCGGCCACGCTACCCCGGGGGGGGGGGGGAAACCCCAAAAACCGGACCCCAAATTGGGGCGGATTCGGGCAAATTCGGCGGTTTTGGGGGGAGCAAAAACCGGACTCAAAACTGGGCGGATTCGGGCAAATTCGGCGTTTTTGGGGGAAGGGGGGGCGATAAAAGGGCCGGGAGGAACCGGCAGAGACCCCCCCCCCCGGCACCCCGATACCCCCCGGTCCTATTCCCGGTCTCCCACTCCTTCCATCCCATCCCCAATCCCAGCATTGCCCCCCCCCCGCCCTATTCCCGCTCCCATTCCCAGTCCCATTCCCGGTCTCCCACCCCCATCCCCTCCCCAATCCCACTGTCGCCCCCCCAGTGCTCCCCCCTATCCCATTCCTGGTCCCATTCCCAATCCTATTCCCGGTCTCCCACCCCCATCCCATCCCCTCCATCCCCTCCCCAATCCCACTGCCGACCCCTCCCCCCCCCGCCCTATTCCCGGTCCCATCCCCGGGGGGATCCCAGGGGGACCCCCCACCCCTAAAACCGTCGGGGGTGGGAAAAACCCTTTAATGGTTTTTTTGGGGTTTTTTTTTGGTTTTTGCGTCCGAACAAAAATTGAGGGGGGAAAAAAGGCACAGAAAGCACAGAAACCCCCCCAAAACCGGGGGGGAGGGGGCAGGAGGGCCCCTCCCTCAAGGGAAGACCCCCCCCCCGACCCCGGATCCAGCCGGAGCCAGGGCTGGATGTGCTTCCAGAGGGGGAATTCCGGGGGCTCCCAGGGAGGGAGAGGGACCCCAAACCCAGAATTCCAGGGGCTCCCAGGGAGGGAGAGGGACCCCAAACCCAGAATTCTGGGGTATCCCTGGGAGAGGGACCCCAAACCCAGAATTCCGGGGGCTCCCAGGGAGGGAGAGGGACCCCAAACCCAGAATTCTGGGGTATCCCTGGGAGAGGGACCCCAAATCCAGAATTCCAGGGGCTCCCAGGGAGGGAGAGGGACCCCAAACCCAGAATTCCGGGGTATCCCTGGGAGAGGGACCCCAAATCCAGAATTCCAGGGGCTCCCAGGGAGGGAGAGGGACCCCAAACCCAGAATTCCGGGGTATCCCTGGGAGAGGGACCCCAAACCCAGAATTCTGGGGTATCCCTGGGAGAGGGACCCCAAATCCAGCCAGAGCCAGGGCTGGACCCGCTCCAGGCTCAGGGGATTTGGGAGCAGGGGAAGGTGGGTTTGGGGGATTTGGGATCAGGGGAGGATGAATTTGGATGGATTTGGGCTCAGGACAGGATGTTAATACCCCCCAGCTCCAGCCAGAACCAGGGCCTGAGGGTTTGGGGGATTTGGGATCAGGGTTTAGGGGATTTGGGCTCAGGACAGGATGTTGATGCCCCCCAGCTCCAGCCAGAACCAGGGCCGGAGGGTTTGGGGGATTTGGGATCAGGGTTTAGGGGATTTGGGCTCAGGACAGGATGTTGATGCCCCCCAGCTCCAGCCAGAACCAGGGCCTGAGGGTTTGGGGGATTTGGGATCAGGGTTTGGGATCAGGATTTGGGCTCAGGATTTAGGATCAGGGTTTGGGCTCAGGACAGGATGTTAATACCCCCCAGCTCCAGCCAGAACCAGGGCCTGAGGGTTTGGGGGATTTGGGCTCAGGGTTTGGGAGGATGGATTTGGGACCAGGGGAGGATGGATTTGGATGGATTTGGGCTCAGGACAGGATGTTGATGCCCTCCAGCTCCAGCCAGAACCAGGGCCTGAGGGTTTGGGGGATTTGGGATCAGGGTTTAGGGGATTTGGGCTCAGGGCAGGATGTTGATGCCCCCCAGCTCCAGCCAGAACCAGGGCCTGAGGGTTTGGGGGATTTGGGATCAGGGTTTGGGATCAGGATTTGGGCTCAGGGCAGGATGTTGATGCCCCCCAGCTCCAGCCAGAACCAGGGCCTGAGGGTTTGGGGGATTTGGGATCAGGATTTGGGCTCAGGACAGGATGTTGATGCCCCCCAGCTCCAGCCAGAACCAGGGCCTGAGGGTTTGGGGGATTTGGGCTCAGGGTTTGGGGGATTTGGGCTCAGGGTTTAGGGGATTTGGGCTCAGGACAGGATGTTAATACCCCCCAGCTCCAGCCAGAACCAGGGTCTCAGGGCGTCCCCCCCGAAGCGTGCCCGGGGGAAGGCGAAGAGGGGCCGGGTGTCCCCCCCCTCCCCGTCGAAGAAGGCCACCCTGCCCCCCTCGTAGTCCAGGGCCACCCGGAGCCGCCGGGGCAGCCGGGCCAGGGGCGTGGGGGGCTCGGTCAGGGCGCGCCCGCCGCCCCCCCAGCGCTGCAGGGCCCACACCCCCCCCCGTGGGGCGAACACCGGGGGGTCGCGGCGCCCCAGGGACCCCCGGCTGACCCCCACGGCGCAGAAGGGGTCCCCCGAGAGCTCCACGCTCCAGCTGTGCCGGCCCCGGCGGAATTCCGGCAGCCCCAGGACGCAGGGAACGTTCTGGAAGCGCTCGGGGGCCGGGGGGGGCTCCGGGGCCCCGTAAACCCAGCGGGCGCTGAGACGGTCCCGGGACAGAACCAGGCGGGGGTGGGACGTCAGAGGGTCCAGGGTCACCGGGGCTGGGGGGGACACGGGGGGACAGGGGTCAACGGGGGGAACCGGGAGAAACGGGGGGAACCGGGATGAACGGGGGGAACCGGGAGAAACGGGGGGAACCGGGATAAACGGGGGGAACCAGGAGAAACGGGGGGAACCGGGAGAAACGGGGGGAACCGGGAGAAACGGGGGGAACCGGGATGAACGGGGGAAAGGGGGTAAATGGGGGGAAAGGGGGTAAATGGGGGAAAGGGGATAAATGGGGATAAAGGGGATAAACAAGGGAAAGGGGATAAACGGGGGAAAGGGGATAAAGGGAATGGGGGAGGAACCGGGATAAACGGGGGGAAACTGGGATAAACGGGGGAAAGGGGATAAACGGGGGGAAAGGGATAAATGGGGGGAAAGGGATAAATGGGGGGAAAGGGGATAAATGGGGGGAAAGGGATAAATG